AAACCCTGTCTTGAAAAAACAAAAACAAAAAACCCAAAACAAAATATTATACTGTGTGTCTTACTGTTACTATTGCTGCAATAAAACACCATGACTAAAAGCAGCTTGAGGAGGAATACTTCATCTTACAACTTGTAGTTCACTATCTTGAAGTTAGAAGGAAGTCAAGGCAGGAACTAAAACAGAGGGTATGGAGGAGTGCCGCTTACAGGCTTGCTCCTCCCTGGCTTGCTCAGCCTGCTTTCTTATAGCAGCACCCTGGGCAGATTACCTGTCCAGGGACTGCATCACCCACAATGAGCCAGGCCATTTCCATGTAAACCAATAATTAAGAAAATGGCCTACAGACTTGCATACAGACCAATCTTATGGGGGCATTTTCTTAACTGAGAGTCCTTCTTCCCAAATGACTCTAGCTTGTAACAAGTTGATGTAAAACTAGCCAGGCGCGTGTGTGGGTGTGTGTGCATGCGTGCGCCCGTGTGTGTAGGATTTAAAGGAAGATGTAAGCCACTTTGATATGGGTGCTGGGAATCAACCCTGAGTTCTCTGGAAGAGCATCAGGCAGTCTTAGCTGCTGAGCCATCTCCCCAGCCTCCTACCCTGATTATCCTATGAGCTACCTTGTCAGGTGGTAGCTCATAGCTTCCCCTGCTAGTAACTGACAACAGAAATGTGAGGCATGAGGGGGAGGTACAAAGACTGGCTCCCTTCTGCACTGTGGTACACTCTGTGCTGAGTCCCTCAGAGGATCAGACTGAAGCCAATCTCCACTTACCAGTCAGTCTCCCGTCAGTGTTAGGCCTGCCCTACTTCCATCTCCTCTCCTGAGCGCGTGTCCCTAGTAAATCAACTCAAGAATTTTCATCTTCCATTGGGCTTCTCAGGGACCCACTGCATGACACCATGTTATGAGGGAGAGTCTAGCAACCTTTGATATCAGTCTGCTTTCTGTTATGACACTTGAGACAGTGCTTTGTAAAGAAGAGAGGGTTTGGGACTGGGGAGTTGGCTCATAGGTTAGGAGCTATTCTTGTGGAGAACCCGTTTGATTTCCAGCACAAAGGTCAGCTGTAACTACAGGCAGAGATCTGATGGCTTCCTTGGGCAGTGCACTCACATACACAAACCCCACACAGACCTGTTGTGGGATATTAGTACACTATGTGAAGGTGTATTGCTGTGATTGGTGTAATAAAGAGCCAAATGACCAATAGCTAGGCAGGAGGTATAAATGGAATTCCAGGCAGAGAGAGGAGGTGCAGTGACGATACCAACAAAACACAAAATGAAAGGTAAAAGGCCACATGGTAAAACACAGATTAATAAAAGCAGGTTTATTTAAGTTAAAAGAGCTAGTGGGACAAACGTAAGCTAAGGCCAAGCTTTCATAATTAATAAGTCTCCCTGTCAGCCAGGCAGTGGTGGGAATACAACTTTAATCCCAGCACTTGGGAGGTAGAGGCAGGTGGATCTCTACGAGGTCAAGGCCAGCCTGGTCTACAGAGTGAATTCCAGTCCAGGATAGCCAGAGCTGTTACAGAGAAACCTGTCTCAAAAAAAAAAAAAAAAAAAAAAAAAAAAAAAAGTGTTGTTATTTGTGAGCTAGCTGTCCAAAGAAAAATCCAACTACATATGGCACCCAATGTGGGTCTTGAATAGCCACATAGGGCCTGAGAAAGTGGTCTACTGGGTATGCTCAGCAAAGAGGCATGGCTCTTTTTAGAGTCCCTGCTAGACAGCAGAGTATTTGAGCAACCCCATGCTAGGTAAAAATGCCCGTCCCACCGTGGACACAATAGCTTCCCAGAGTGGGGCAGTAAATACACTAACATGAGGCTAGGCTCGTAGGAAACAGGGGCGTGGAGCCAGCAACCAGAGTTGCACTGCAGCTGGCATGGCCATTTAAAGTTTGTCTCAGGGTCAGAGAACACTGCCCGCACAGTAAAGTGGTCCAGACCAAGAAAACATTTAAACAGATACATTAAAAAATGGGTATAGACAGTCATAAGAGTTTAAAAATAATAAAGTCTTGAAAGAGAAAATCAAGTAATATAAAGAAAACAAGCCACATAAAGACGGGAAGTACACAGGGCATCTGGATCCTGTATGGCACTTGTGAATTTTTAAAATGCTAATGTGTAAAAAATAGCTACTGAGAGACAGGGGATTATGGAAACTGATAAATTAAAGCACCCTATCTATTTTTAAAATGTCTTCATTTAAAAATGTTAGTCAGAAAACATGTATTGGGGGAGAAGTTATACCTTTGTTTTCACAGGAAACAAAAAGTTATGATTCTCTTCAAAATTAATAAAGAACAGATTTGACTAGAGGAACATCTCCTGAAGATCTTGGCTGTAGATATGAGGGGAAAAGTCAAGAAAGATTACAGGACAGATGACTGATGCAGGCTCATCTGGAACTCACTCTGTGGCCTAGGCTGGCCTTGAACTCCTCTGACCTCAGTCTCCTAAGTACTGGAATAGTCAGGCATCACTGTGCCTGGCATTCACACTCTTTAAAAATGCTGTTAGTAGTACTCATTAATTATACATAATAGCAGGTTTCATTATAACTTGTTCATAGATGTACATAGTGCATTTTGATCATGTTACTCTCTTACCCTCTCTTCTCCCATCGTTATTGCTAATCACTTTCCTCTTTGCAACTAGCCCTCTTCTACTTTCATGTTGTGTGTATGTGGGGGGAGAGAGAGCCTATGCAAGCTTAAAATAAACCAATGAATTTCATTAGGGCTGCTAAAAGGAGCATGGGAGCCTTAACCAGTGACCACATCATCAACCATTAACTGCAATAACACCCCCCCCCAGGGGTGGGGTTCAGATCACTCTGCAAACCAGCTTGCCAGGAACTAACCACTGGAACCACAATTAATCCCTCTCTGTGCAGTACCCCCAGTGACCTCAATGCTCTAGACCTCTGATTTTTAAGGTTCCAATAGAAGCTGGAGGTGTAGCTTGGTAAGAAGAGTAACACAAATACCATGCAGGAGGCCCTGGGCTCAGTCTCCTGACTCAGAAAAGGTTCCATTGCCACACTCAGGACTATGCAACACACAAATTCCTGGAGCACAATCCACATGTACACCAGAGCAATTGCCAGAACAATTTCAGTCTCCTTGTGGTGACCTCCCACTCCACACCATTGCTAAGAATGGTGGTTTAACCAGCTGTGTGCCATGAGCCTATAGACCAGAGCTGCTCAGGAAACTAAAGACAGGATTTAGGACTAGGAGACTGAGCCAGCCTAAGCTAACAAAATAAGACCAGGTCTCAAAAAGCCCAGTAAGGGGCTGGAGTCATTGCTCAGTGAGGAAAGTGCACAAGCATAAGAACCTGAGTACAGGACACCAGTACTCATGTAATAAAGTGGGTGTGGCAGCCTGCTTCTATAACCCCAGTGCTGGGTGGGATTGGGGTACAGAGACAAGAGGACACTGGACATGGATACCCGTGCACCCCTACACACAATCTACAGGGCACAGCAGCATCTACCTGGAACCAAGGGGGTGAGGTATCAGCAGGATCCTTCTGCCATACCTTCACTAACTCAACACATAATTCTCACAGCTGGGCAGAGGCTGGGTGGTACAGTCTGTAAATGTGTTTCTCTTATTGGTTAGTGAATAAAGCACTGTTGGCCTATAGGGAAGCAAGACAGGAGGGAGTTAGGAGACGAGGAGGATTCTGGGAGATGTAGTAGAGAAGAGTCGAGATGTAGGAAGCAAGAGGAGTAAGAGGTCTGGACCCTCTCTCCATTAAGATAAGACCATGTGGATACACTTAGATTGATAAAAATGAATTAATATTTAAGACAGAGCTAGCCAATAAGAAACACTAGTACAGGCCAACAGCTCCATAATTAATACAGCGTCTCTGTGTGTAATTAATACAGCTGATGCGGCTGTGGGACCAGGCTGGCAAGAAAGTGCTGGTAACACATGGATACAATCTCTGGGAACCAACCCCCCCTCCCCTGGCCCCCACATACCCACCATCGATTTTACTACAACTCCCAGAACACACTTCCCTGGCAGAAGTGGAGGCAGAGATGGAAGAACCCTAGAGCTTATTGACCAGCTAGCCTAGCTGATTCTGTGCTATGAGCTCCAGATTTAATGAGACACTCTGCCTCAAAAAAATAAGGTGGAAGGCCAGGCATGTTGTTGCACACCTTTGACCCCAGCACTCTGAGGCAAAAGCAAGATGATCTTTGTGAGTTTTAGGCTAGCCTCATCTACATAGAAAAACCCTGTCTTTACAAGCCTAAATAGCGCACACCTTTAACCCCAGCAGTAGGGAGGCAGAGCCAGGCAGATCTCTGTGAGTTCTAGGCCAGCCTGGTCTACAGAGCAAGTTCCAGGACAGCCAGGGCTACACAAGGAAATCCTGTCTTGAAAACCCAACCCCCCTACCCCCAAAAGAGAATACACTAAATAAATAAAATAAGGTGGGGAGTGATCAAGACACTAGATGTTAACCTTTGGTCAGAGGTCACACTGCCCACACCCTTACCCCCACATACAAAACAAACGGGGCATGGTAGCTTATGCCTATAATCCACCTAGAAGGCAGAATGTGAATTCTTTTGTTGCTGTTTTTTGAGACAGGGTTTCTCTGTGTAGTCCTGGCTGTCCTCAAACTCATTCTGTAGACCAGGCTGGCCTGGAACTCAGACATCCTCCTGCTTCTGCCTCCAGAATGCTGGGATTAAAGTCACATGCAACCACCACCCCTTGGAGGATTCTAATTAGCCTAAGCTACATAGTAAGATCATGTAGCTAGAGCTACAGAGTAAGACTGTCTCAAAAGGTCCCAAATCAAAACAAAGGCCTAAACAAAACAGGAGTGCTATTACAATGATAAAATACCTTCATTCCCTAGACCAGGACCTGGAGCATAGTAAATGCTCAGTAACTGCACTTCACTGAACACACTGTGTCAGAGCATACTGTCAGTGCCTCTTCTACCCTACAAGGCCTGGCAAGGAGGCATTGTGAGTCATAGCTGGCAGACGAGTGGGGCAAAGTGGTCCAGAAATGGGGCCAGCCCTGAGACAGCAGCTTGGGCACCTCCATCACATCTTCCAGGTGAGGAACAACTTGCAAGGAACATCAGGGAACAGGCATCTGGGGAGTTGTGACCTCAAGGATAGATATGTGGGTGTGAGTGCCTCCAGAGGCAGTTTCCACGAACTAGATAAAGATGGGGATAAGCCCACCTCTGCCCAAATGCAGATTTAATGAAGGTGTGGCAGAGGGAACCCTGCCTCTATTTCTCTTTACTCCCACCATGGGCAGGAGAGGTATTTAAAACAACACACCATAGAATCAGCACTTTGTCAGTGTTGGGAAAAGAGATAAGAAGTAAGGAAGAGTGGGAATCTGGGCTTTAGAATCTTTGAGGTAGTAGTCTGCTAGGAATAAGCCAACTCTACTGTTCAGAATCCCAGTCACTTTAAAGCTAAGCATAGGTCTAGACACGTGTCCCAGGATGTCACCGACCACACTGGACTTTAATACGAATGTATTAAAGGAGCATCTTGAGGGTAGACAAAGGCTATGTTGATGGCACCCTTGTGCAGACCAGACCTGGCAAGGAGTAGGTGCCAGTGTAAGAATATCATAACCAAAATATGGGGTTATGCCAGACATCTTACCAGACAAGACACTCTGTAGAATCCATACTAATTCTGGCTTTGCAACCTTCAGTAGCCTTCCCTAAAGAGTGACCTATCAACTGTCCAGCATGCCTGTACTGTACCTCAAGATGTCCCGGCTCACCTTTCTAGCCTACTTTACTGCTATCCTCAGCCAACCCTATCCCCAGCCTTGTCCACACGTCTGGAACATGACAGCCTTGCCCTACTTGTCACAATGCCCCTCAGCCCTCCATTACAGTCCCATTCCACTTAGCAAAGGCCTGTCCTGCTGGCTGGGCTACTGATCCTCCCCTGTGGTCCACCTTCCAGCTGCATCTCAAGCCTTTACCTACATTATCTCTTACACACCCACAAATGAAGCGTTCTTGGGGAGTTGGGTTTGGTGAACAAGGCTGGTATGACTGTGGGAATGGGCTCTCCCAGGGGCCTGGAACTGCAAAGCCCTGGACACCCTGGGGGTGGAGACAGCCTGTCCTGAGCATGCCGCTCACAGGCCATTTGCTTCTCAAGCAGTGGCACTGGCTCGCCTTCATCATTCCAGGACAGCAGGGCTCCAGACTCCCGCGCACCCCGTGCGGCCCACCCACGCTTCGCCCTGGAGGCCTTCGAGTGCCTGGCCGCGAGCCACGCGGGCCACCTGTGGGAGCAGCTGCGGCAGTTCTGGGCCGACCACTTCTCGCGCCGATTCTCGCCGCGGAGGCCGCCGCTACGCCGCATAGCATCCATGTCCACCTTCTACCTGCTGGACCACCGCACGCGCCAGGCCGAGCTGGGACTGAACTACGGCTGTCCGCGCACCCGACTGAACGACGAGGCCTTCGTGTTCCGCGGTGGTCGCTGGACGGCGGAGGGGCAGCACGCACGCCTGCGGTCGCCGCTGCCCACCGGCCCTGCCTGGAAGCCACCAGTACAGCCGATCAAGAGCCAGGTGCTGCTGGAGGAGAACAACTACCTGAAGCTGCAGCAAGAACTGCTCATGGACATGCTGACCGAAACCACCGCGCGCCTGCACCTGCTGGAGAAGAAGGTGAACGCGGATGTAGACCCCGTGGCCGCGGCGCACGCCTGGCAGAGGAAGATGCGCAAGCACGAGGGCGCGGGTGTGCTTGTTATCCAGCCACGCGCTCTGAAGTCGCGTGTGGTGACGCAATAAAACCCATGCATAACGCCGAGCTGCGCGTGCGCGTCTCACCTCGCCCGGCCCCTGTGGTCCGTGAGTCGCCATGCTTCCGGCCAGGCCTCCTGCTCTTTGGGTGGCACTGTGTGCGGCCCTTTGGGTGTAAAAGGCAAGAGAGCCTGTGGCGGTCGGGCTGGGGAGAGGTGGGCGGATTAGGAGTTTGCGCTTGACTTTTTCTTGATCCAGGACCTTGAAGCAGTTCCTTGAACCTTGGGTCCTGCCTACCCTCCTCCCCCCGCATTTGTTGGAGTGGTTCACTTTGTTTTGTTTTCCATTCACGTCTCCGTTAGAGTCCGATTTTCTCCTACGTGAACTAAAGGCTTCTAAATAGACCTGACATTAGGATTAAAAAAAAAAAAAAAATGCATTGGGAGCCGGGCAGTGGTGGCATATATCTTTAATCCCAGCTCTCAGCAGGCAGAGGCAGATTGATCTGAGTTTGAGGCGAGCCTGGTCTACAGAGCGAGTTCTATGACAGCCAGGGGAAAAAGAAACCCTATCTCGAAAAATAAAAATGAACCCCCCCCCCAAAAAAAAAACCCAACAAAACACAGGGTCTGCACAGTCTACATATACATAACCTGTGTGTTGCACATACATGGCATAGAAATGTATGGTGTGTGTGTGTGTGTGTGTGTGTGTGTGTGTGTGTGTGTGTGGCAGGAAAGGGGCTGAGTGTTAGAGCACTTGTCTAATATGCAAGATCCTATGTTCAAACTCCAGTACTACAATAGTTCATTTTTGAAGTAAGGGTCTCACTATTCATGCTGGGCTTAAAGAGGTGTGCCACCACACCCAGCAGCAAACAACCCATTAAACTGGTGGTTGTGGAAAAGCTGATAAGACACCTGAGAGACACATGCGAGAGGCTGAGTCACAGCAAGGTTGGAAAGTGTATTTGACTCTTTGGAAGGCTCTTCTCTAGTACCCAATGCATGTCCATTGAGAAAATCCCATTATGGGTGGTGAGCTCAGAAAGCAGAGGTCATGAGACCAGAGCCTCTACCTACACACAAACACTCTGAAGTTCAATCTACCTGAAGGAGACCCTCACCCCACCCCACACAGCTGGGGCTTCCTCTTGAACCCCAGATTAGATACAAAGCACACCCATAACCAAACACCCTTTTTCCAAGAAAGACCCTTTATTAATCTGGGAAGAAAAATTAAAGTGGCTGCTTTCTGACTCAGGCAGAAAAACAGCTGCAAATGATCTTGCAGGTGTAACTTTTAAGAGGAGAAAAGGGGGAGGTCTGTGTTAGAATGGGCTAGGATGGACTGGAAAGATGGCTTGGCAGTTAAGAACACTGGCTGCTCTTACACAGGTCCCAGGTTCAATTCCCACCACCAACATAGCAGCTCACAACTGCCTATAACTACAACCCTATGTCCTTTCACAGGCAAAACAAAACACCAATGCACATTAAAAATAAATAGTGGGCTAGGGCCAGGCGTTGGTGGCACAGGCAAGAGGCAGAGGCAGGAGGATCTCTACGAGTTCGAGGCCAGCCTGGTCTATAGAGTGAGTTCCAGGACAGGTTCCATAGCAATACAGAGAAACCCTGCCTTGAAAAAAACCAAAAGTAAATAAAAAGACTAGGATATGGTAGTATAGGAGATAGAGAATGAGGGGGAAGGGAACAAGAGAAAGGGGTAGAGGTATTTGTCCCGGAGGGACAAAGGAATGTCTCTGGATCGAGAGGACAAACCTGGCACATAAGAAATGGAGTTTATAAAGTAAAATGGGAAACCCCATATTATGATGTGTTTAATCTTAATTGGGCATGTTAATTAGGTGAATCAAAGGGGGCTTTTGATTGCTGGACTTTAATACTTTGATAGCTGGACCTTGAAAGTTGTCAAGAGGAGGAAGAGGCCAAATAAGGGAATAGACCCTGTGGGCTATTCAGGGATGTAATCTAAAGGTTTTTAGCAAGGCAGAGGGAATGGGGGAGAAGAGCCAGGCCTGCCAGAGCCACTTGAGTAGACTAGAGTCTGTTCACTACTTACCAGTTCAGGTAGCAGATGGCAGCTGAGATTAGAGCAAGGGCCAGGAAAAATGGTCATTGGTAAAGAGTGCCATACAGAATGGGATACAGCATACAACCATGTGATCCTGGTTTGTACTTGTAATCCCAGCTAGCACTTGGAAGTTGGAGGCAGGAAGATTATTTCAAATTCAAGACCAGACAGGGCTACATAGTTGTTGGCCAGTTTGGCCTACAGAATAAGTCCTTGCTTCAAATACACATAGATGCCCCCAAACCAACCCACCAAAAAAGAAACTCAGAATGGAGTCAGAAGTATATCTGTTTTGTATTTTATGAAATTTTATGAAATTTTTGTTTTGCCTATATGTATGTATGTGTACCATATAATTGTCCTCCCATGCCCTCTGAGGTCAGAAGAAGGCACCAGACCTCCTGGAGCCAGAGTTAGGGATGGTTGTGAGGCACCGAGGTACTGAACCCAGGTCCCCTGCAAAGGCAACAAGTGCTCTCGAGCAGTGAGCCGTTCCTTCAGGCCTGTATCAGTTCTTTTTCAATTCATAGACATTTATGCATACATAGTGAGGCATCTTAAAGGACCCAAGTCTGAATAAGAAATTTTATTTTACACACACACTTTATACATGTAGCCTGAGGTAATTTAATTAATGTGCATGGTATTTTGCCCATGGAGTCCAGAAAAGGGGGTCAGACCTCCAGGGACTAAAGTTGCATGGGTTGTGGATATCCTTATGGATTCTGGGATCAAACCAAGTCCCACTGAGCCACTGCTTCAGCCCCTATTTGATTTTGTTTTCTTAAAACAGGGTCTCACTTTTTCTGTTAGAATTACAGCAACCCCCTGCCTCAGTCTCCCAAGTTCCAAGGTATAGGTATGCATCACCACAACCCCTGACTTATGCAGCCTGGGGGGCAGACTTGGGGCTTTGTGCATGCTAGGTTAGCACTCCACCAACTGAGCCACCTCTCGAGCCCCAAGATAATAGGTCAAAGAGGGAAAGGCCGTTCCAGCACATGGCCTTAGAGGTTTTAGCCATAGCCTCTGGGATCTTTGGTTGCACAATATAGCATGGTGAGAGCACATGGAGGAACAACTCTGTTCAGAGGCAGGAAAGCAGGGAGGATGGTTCCAACAGACCTTCAGGGACATTCAGCTAGTGACCACCTGCCTTCTTGTAGGCCCCACCTCCTAAAAACTCCTCCATCTCCTGACAGTATTGCAGGCTTACGGTCCTTGGCCTTCACTGTGTTAACAGTTTCCTCTGAGATTGAAACATTCCATCTGTAGGGATGGTAAACAATTTAAAATAGTTTTAGGAAGTCCCTGTAATCGACCAGATTCACTAGTCCCTACTGGCCAGAGTAAACAATAAAAGTTGAGAGTCTCTCTGGGATGAACAAAAGCTGAGTTGCAAGGGAGGCTCTCAGAGAGCTAAGCTGTGAAGACTCTGAAACCAGACCAAGTTCCTGAAAGAAGCAGACACCTGCTGACTCCCTGGCAGAGGTTTAGGCCGTCGGAAGACCGGACCACAAAGGCCTCTCTCTCTTGTTGAGGTGCCTTGCAGGCTGTGCAGTGTTCCAGGTTCCAGTTTTATGAGCTGTCACTCATGCTGGGGTGGGCTTTGGTAATACAGTTGTCTTTGAGCCATTTCTACTCCTGTAGTAATCCCCCACCCATATTCCAGTGAGTAACCACAATAAAACTCATTAGACTTTGGTGATATCCATAGTTTGGTGTGTCATGGTTTCCCTTGTAGTGATGAGTAGATATGTGTGCTGCATCTATCTCTCCAGGAAGAGTTTTGTTACACGTAGGTCTTTGGGAGACATTTCAGATCCAAACCATGAAAGTACTGGTGAGATCATGTTGTCACTCAATACCTATCAGATTTTAAAGTGTTTTGGATTTCAGGTTTTTCAGTTAGCAAGACACAAGGAACAGGAGCAAAATTGATTTTAAAAATTAGTTAGCTTGGAGTTGGTGGCACATCCCTTTAAGCCTAGCACTCGGGAGGCAGAGGCAGGCAGGTCTCTGTGAGTTCCAGATCAGCCAGAGCTACACAGAAAAACCCTGTCTCAAAAAACCAAAAATCAATAAAATACAATAAAAATGAAAATTAATTATGGGGTTGGAAAGATGACTCAGTAATTAAGAGCACTCTGGTTCTTAGAGGATCAGAGTTCAATTCTCAGCATCCACATGATGGATGGCTCACAATTTTAACTCCATCCAGGTCCAGGGGATCCAATGCCCTTTTCTGGCATTGCACTGGCACTGCACATTATGTGGCAGACTTAGACTCAGGAAAAAGGAAAAAACAAAACACCCATATACATAAAAACAATAAAGATTAAGGCAGGTTCTCTTCTTGGCTTGAAACTTGCCAAGTAGGTTAGGCTGAGTAGACACAGGGATTTTCCTGTTTCTGCCTCACCAGGGCCTGGATACAAGCACATGCCAGGTACTTGACTTTTTTCATGGGAGTTCTGAAGACTGAACTTTGTTGTGCTAGTGTTTTACCAACTGAGCCATCTCCACAGCCTGAGAAGCACAACTCATAGGAGGGTGGGGTGATGGGAAACTGATGAGCATCCTTCTAGAAAACAGGAAGTATATGGAAGGACATGTGCAGGATAAAGGGGAGGACCGGATGTGAACACTGGGGATAGAGGGGTACACAATGGCCATGCTGAATGGTGCTATGGCAAGCTCCATTCCAGCCAGCTCTGCCCTTCTCCATTTCCTCTGCCTTACTAAAAACCTTTAGATTATATTCCTGAAGCTGGCCTGCAAGGTCTATTCCCTTATTTGGCATTTCCTCCTTCTGAGGCGGACCACCAAGTTCCAGCTATCAAAGTATTGAAGTCCAGCAATCAAAAGCAAAAGCCCCTTTTGGCTCATCTAGTTAACATGCCCAATTTAAAATTAAACACCTCATCCTAACACGGAGTTTGCCCTTGTACCTTTATAAACTGCCATTTGCC